GGCTGGAAAGACGTGAGTTGTGGTCAGATAATAGAGTCTTAGAGTTCAAGAGTTCTGATGTGGAGCAGCTCTAGGTGGCAGCAGTGTTCAGGCTGTGGGTGTGAGGGACTAAAATACAGAGAAGGCAAAGGTCACTAGACTTGAAGAAGTCATGGTTGGGTTCTCCACACAGATGGTGCAGTTGCCCAGGAGAGTGGCAAGATCAAGCAATAGAAAGACTGAACCGGTCATTTATTTTCTCAGTATTGAACATTATATTCTATTTTCATTGCGTTTTCCCAGAAGACAAAGAATGATGGGTTTAACATGTATTCAAGAAAAGGGAACGGAAAGGAAGAACTCAAATTAGTAGAATCAGTTGATACGTACTTAGTTTAAGGAAACTCGGCCAAGGAAGTTGGTTTCCTGCAATTAAGATAGGTACCCTTTTTCCTATCCTGTCTTCATATATGTTAGAAGTCCCACCCAAGCATTGGTATCTAGTAGTAAGTTTGGAGTGATCAGTGTCTGTCTTAAATTAGGTAGGCCTTAGCTACTTTGACAAGTATCTTTTCAACAGAAGCTAGGCTTTGAGTCATTTTGACAAGTATTTATTTTCCTCTCTGTCTTCTAAATCCAGGTTATGTAAGGAAGGCTTGGAAGAAGTAATTTAAACAAAACTCGTCTGCCCAAACCCATCGGTACAGGTGTTCAACAATAAGAAAAGGACTTCCTTAGGAGTTTGGATGGGGGGGTGACTAAAGTAGGGCCCCTGCTTTCCTATTTTCCTCATAGAAATTCTGGTTTTCTACCAGTTGATAATAAGTTCTTTACCAGGGAGCAGAAGGAGTAGAAGATATGGGAAAGCAAAATATCCAGAATAATAAATAGGATAATAGAGAAACGGGAAAACACCAGCAAAAGATAGCTAAAGCCTCCCACTGTGAGAAGGTGGTGTGTGAGCCCGTTACAGTCTTAGTGCGGGAAGGTGGAGAGGTGGTACAACATTATTCCTCCGAGACTTTTGGCTCTTTCCGTCTACAGGGCAACGTAAAGGGTTGGCCAGGAGGTGTGCAGATGAACAGTAGTGGCCCAGGGTTCACATTCTTAGTCCATAAATGACAAGGCAGTAATATTTAGGCTTGTGGCCATATGGTATCTGTTACCATTACTCACCTCTGCCGTTGTAGCACCAGAGCAGCCATAGGTGTCTTGTAGCAGAATGAGTAGGCTCTGTTCCAGTACAGCTGCATTTACTCGAACTCCTCCGGCCAGATTTGGGCTGCTGACCCCTGAGCTATAGGGTAAAAGGTGGCTGACACAAGCTTCAAAGGATAGGGAGTTTTACTTGAGGGTAAATGTATAATGGCATGGACTGCTTTGGGGAGCTAGAGGAATGTTGGGTTATTCCATCAATTCACCTCCTTCAGCCTTTTGATATTTGAACTATGGGAGGAGATAGAGGGCATAGTGGAGGAGTGTAACATTTAAGTTCTTATGACAGTGAATGAGAACTGTATAGAAGTCAGTTCAGAAACAGCTCTGCAATGATAATAAGATTGTGGATGATTGGGTAGCTGATAGTTTAGCAAGTAGAAGTCATATGCTGTGTATCTCAGCTTGTTCCCCCAGGTTAGCTGTTAGCTGGTTAGTTTTGTTTGACTCCTCAAATATTGTTACCAGCTATCTTCTAAATTTATGATTATGGGAATGTAGAGCAAAAAAGTGAACTGGTCAGTTCAAATCTATATCTACAACTAGAAAAACTCTGCTGAAAATATTTGCATAGGCTTGAACCTATTATATTAAAAAATTAATTTTTCCACAAGTCGTTATGGTTTAATTCAGTAATACTTACATTGGATGTTTTCTTACCACAATATGGCCTTCAAACCAGAAGTGGATTTGCATTTAAAATATTAATTTTCAATATTAATTTTGCGTATTTTGTTTTTCCACAGGCACAATAACTTGCCTGAAATTCCACGGCAACAGGCACTTAATTAGTGGGGCGGAAGATGGACTCATTTGTGTCTGGGATGCAAAGAAATGGGAGTGCCTGAAGTCGATTAAGGCGCACAAGTGAGTCCTGACCTTTCTGGTTGGTGGTCTCCAGGCGTCAGCAAGTTGGGGGCTAACTCTTGGTTTCCTTTTAGAGGACATGTGACCTTTCTTTCTATTCACCCATCTGGCAAGTTGGCCCTGTCTGTGGGGACAGATAAGACATTAAGGTAAGTCACTAATGCCCAAGAGCATCTCTACTTAGTTGTGGTCTTTGCTCTCCAAGTACAACAGGAACCCAAAAAATATTGTGATATAAGGAAAGGTTGAAAGCTAATGAACCTTTTCATAATGGGAGGGAAAAGTAACAAGCTCTATATTCAAACATATACATTACCTTTCAGTCATTGTAGGCTGAAGTGAAGAGGAGCGTGGCCCTGAAAAGAAATGTTTTAGGAGGTGAAACCTTTTGAAAATATATTAAAGGGATGTAGGAATATCCTTTGCTATAGGAAAAATGGCCATTCTTCGGAATAGCCATGTATTTAGTAAATTTTCATTTGAGTAAGTCTTCATTATGCTTACCTTTATATTTAGTAGAAGTTAGTGATCGTGCCATAAGTGAGCTTCTTGTTTTACAGAACATGGAATCTTGTGGAAGGAAGATCAGCATTCATAAAAAATATAAAACAGAGTGAGTATTTTTCGATGGTGGTTACCTCTGAGAGCAAATGCTTTGGATTACTTGCTTTCTTCATTTTATTTTTATTATTATTTATTTATTTATTTTAAATATTTTTTTATTATTGATTTCAGAGAGGAAGGGAGAAGGAGAAAGAGATAGAAACATCAATTGCTGAGAGAGAATCATGGATCGGCTGCCTCCTGCATGCCCCCTACTGGGGATCAAGCCTGCAAGCTGGGCATGTGCCCTTGACTGGAATCGAACCCGGGATCCTTCAGTCTGTAGGCCGATGCCCTATCCACTGAGCCAAACCGGCTAGGGCTGCTTTCTTCATTTTAGATTGAGATTCCTGTTGCTCTGCCACCTACCAGCTCTCTAACCTTTAATGATTCTTTGAACTGAGCTTATTGTCTAACCCTGAACCCCCAAAATATGTATCATGTTAGTGGTGATGTGAAAATGTGCATTATAAACATTTGCTACTTTTATGATTACTCTATCATTTTATTTTTTACTTATGAAATGAACAGGTTTTGTTTTTTAACTTACAGATGCTCACATCGTGGAATGGTCCCCAAGAGGAGAGAAATATGTAGTTGTCATACTGAATAAAATAGATGTCTATCATCTTGACACAGCAGCTGTTAGTGGCACCATCACAAACGAAAAGAGAGTATCTTCTGTTACGTTTCTTTCAGTAAGTAATCAGAAATCAGTGGTGGATGTTTAGTGTGTATGTGATGGTCTGAATTGTTTGATATTCTGGATATTATTCTTTTTCTCTCTCTTAGGAGTCTGTCCTTGCAGTGGCTGGAGATGAAGAAGTTGTAAGGTTTTTTGACACTGATTCATTAATGTGCCTCTGTGAATTTAAAGCTCATGAAAACAGGTATTTCTTTAACCAATTTATTGTGCGTATGTGTACAGCCTCAACAAATATTATATGCAGTAGTTTCATAAAGCAGCATATATGTTTTATGAACAATTGCAGAGATAGAGGTATCTGCATATATATATATGACATCCAGAGTCTGAGAGGATGATGGAAGTGTCTTTGTGGCCTTAGTAAATGCAAAAGTGATAAAATTGTTGTTAGGGTCACCAAAGAAGGGACGCATGAGGCCAAAGTGGTAAGGGATTATAAATTTATTAGCAGATGGGCTGAGCCCCAAAATGGCACCAGCCCCCAAAGACGGTGAGTTGGATGGTTTTAAGGACTCTAGGCAGGCTTTTTCTGGGCAGAGAATTCTCTGTGCAAGTGTGGATTCTGGGAAACTCCAGAAGGGAGAGATAATGGTCTTAGCCAGTGGAATGTGGTCTACGCAAGTGGAATGTCCATTGAGAAGTCCCAGGGGAGGGGGTATCAATTCAATTATTTGATCAGACCTAATAGTTGTCATCAGGACTAGTCACTCGCACAAGATACTTTTCTAATGATCTCATTAGTCTTGGTGCCTGAAATCAACCATATTTGAACAGGAAAAAATAATTAAAGTCTTGAGCTTTGCCCTGGCCACTCTTATCTTTTTACTTTATTCCCCTTGTCCACATCGTCCTTCTTTATACCCCACTTGTTTTTCCTGCAGAAGAAATACTGGGCATTATAGACTTCAGTTTTGTGTCAGTCTCTTACCTCATACTGCTCACTGTATTTCTAGGGGTAGAGTCTGAGTCTCAGAGTAAATAGTTAAGTGACTTTGCTCTTACTCTTGGGGCCTGAAATCAACCCTATTTCCACTGTTAGCTACTGGAGGTGGGATCCAAACCTGGTTCTATCTGACTCTGCCCCTGCTTTTCCCATTATAATTTTGAAAAAGGTGATAATGTAAAGAGTTATACTTTAATATGCTTCATTTGCATGTTCTACATCTTAAGTAAGTCTTAGTTCTTACCGTATTTTCAAAGTAATAGTTAGGTTTTAAGAAACCTCTCTTTGTAAATATAGTACTCAGAATACTGCAATCACTGTACAGACCTAGTTAACATGATCAGGAAAGGGGGAGTGGGACCTAGGGATGAAAAAGGAACTTTTTTTTTTAGTATATTTTTATTGACTTCAGAGTGGAAGGGAGAGAGAGATAGAAACATCAACAATGAGAGAGAATCATTGATCGGCTCTTTCCTGCACACCCCACACTGGGGATCGAGCCCACAACCCAGGCATGTGCCCCCGACCGGAACTGAACCCTGGACCCTTCAGTCCACAGGCCGATGCTCTATCCACGGAGCCAAACCAGCTAGGGCAGGAACTGTTTTTAAAAAGAGGAGAGAACTGCTGTCACCCTGGCTCTGAGGGGGGAAAGAGCCCGATGTATTTCAGGAACAGATAGAAGGCCCATGTTATTAGGACAGAGTGAGCCAAATGGTACACAGCATTGGAGGACGTTAGGAAGAGTTTGAATTTCTATTAAATGCCTTTGTAGATTTTGTTGTGTTTGTTTCTTATTATGGAAACATTTAAAGGCAGATAAACCAGTGTAAGGAAGCAGCCCCTGTAGACTGACCATCCAGCTTTGGCAGTTGTCAATTCATGATCAGTCTTGCTTCCTAAATATCCCCAACAGCTTCCTCCTTTCCTGTGTTATTTTAATGCAGATCCTAGCTTTGTAGAATTTTAAGCCTGGGAGTAACATGATTTGATTTCATTTTTAAAAATTGTTGGGGCGCCATGGCAGTGTTGCTCAGTGATT